TTTTTTTTTTTTTTTTTTTTTTTTTTAACAGATCCTGTCCTTCATACTAAAAAATCGTTCTCGATGTTCTCCAGTTCTCGTTAATTAATTCAAAGAAGTACGTATGATGCACGATCCTCGCAGTAGAGAGCGCTATTTATGCAATAGCGAAAATCAGACCTGAAAAATATTCAGGCCTGTACGGGATTCGAACCACTTACGTCTGCGATACTAGTGCAGCGCTCTACCAATTGAGCTAACAAGCCAACTGGGAGCAGGCCGTAAAGTCACAAGCCTGCTCCCAGTTGGCTCGTTAGCTCAATTGGTAGAGCGCTGCACTAGTATCGCAGACGTAAGTGGTTCGAATCCCGTACAGGCCTGAATATTTTTCAGGTCTGATTTTCGCTATTGCATAAATAGCGCTCTCTACTGCAGGGATCGTGCATCTTACGTATCTATAACCGCAGTTCAAAATATATGAACTTCATATATTCATCGTATCTCAAAGAAGTACTTTTGAATAAACCAAAACAACTGTTTTTGTGCGAAAGCTTACCCGACATTGAATTTCTGTGACGATCTCTAAACCACATGGTTTCCAAAAAGCGTCCCGAATAGATTAGCAGGTTATCTATGAGCGCATTGAAGGTTTGTGACGCTTAAGTCATTTAAAAGTTTGCTTTGGAAAGTTTCTCACGGCTTCGGCAAGCGAAAAGTACAGAGATTTAAGTAACAAAATTTTAATCTAGAGAACCGGTACACCTTGAATACGTTCAATAACGATTATTTTCTCTAGGAACTAAAAGAATGCGAGGGCATTGTCTGTGACATGTGACGTTACCCAGTGATACGATAAAGGAGTTTGAAACAATAGCTACTGATTGCGACATGAACAAAATTGAAAATTAAAAGATTAAAAAGCTTTCCGGCGAGCGACGTTTAAGTGTCACTGACCACGTGCTAGCCTGTTTACCTCAACGTTTCCTCTTTTTAACCGCTGAATGAAAAGCATCTTCAAATTTTCTAGTAAAAATTTACACGAACTCAACGAAGCGCGCTATCAGTTAGCGGCCAGTCGCATGTATTGTTATGATTTTTTATCTTTTTTTTGTTTTTTGCATTACTCATGTTTCTAGCTTATAGCTGCGAACAAAAGACTCCTCTTTTTGAAATGAATACTGTTCCTTTCAATAGCTGATTACAGTTGAAGGCGGTACTGAACGCAAAAAGAAGGCAAAGGAAATAATTATTATTGAAAAGAAGAAGGCAACTTGTATATTGAAAGGCAAATTGGGCTTCGCAGACACCCTTTGAGGATACTACTATGTATAAGAACAATTGTCTTTCCATATTAAAAGAACATTCCTGATCTGGTGAAAACAGTTCGATTGTTTTTAGCTTTTTACCCAGCGGAACGGTTTCTTTTCAATGTCGCATTGCGGATAGCGGAAGAAACGAAGGGCAGATTTAAAATGAATAATGCCGACGTAAGCATTATGAGTGTATTGTTTTGAATTTCGCGTGAAGGGCGGTAGAAATTGAAAGAACAGAGAGGCGATTATACCATTTGTAATAAAGTTTACTTAGTGGATATCAAAGCTCAAAGAAATCCATCCGTCGAATCTTGAAAATCTCAACAAAAAGACTTAAACTTTCGTTAGGAGATTGAGTGCTTTTCACGGTTTAAGTCGATTTCATAACCTCAATTTAATACGAATACCTTGCGCACTGTACGCGAATAAGGGTTAAAAAATGCAAAATTATTAACTCCAAGTACGTCGGTACAACCATCAAAAGTTTAACTGAAATCTAATTTTTCTGAGCCGATTTCCGAGATCTTATGTATGCTGAACCGTTTTTTCGGCTAACGTAAAAGTTTAGTGATAAAAGTTTATTGATGTAGGCGATTCTTGAAACTAACAAAACGTCAGATTCCAAGATTACAAAATAATTTTTCTCTTGGTGAAATTGTACGAGAAAACTACTCCATTTATGAAAATGAAAGTTTCAGCCCTGTACGAGAAAGATCTCTGCATAAAAATATTAATTGTAATTAACCGAGATCCAAGAACCTCTTTGATGTAGAGAAATTTTTAATGGCAGTTTTGGGGAAAGATTTTAGAGCCCTTTTTTTCCAAAGAAGAAATCTTATTTGCCCTACCAATTTGACAAGCGCATGGTGGAAATTTGCGGTTTGTGAATGATCAAAATGGCGACGTCCTTTAGAAAAGACACGTTCTACGAACGCTATGATTATTGACCCCGTGATGAGCAAAACTCTGGTTATTTCACCCAGAATAAATTTATTTTCGAGGCAGAAGTGTTACATACGAAGAATCGTGCGAGAACGAAACCGATTTGTCAAGCAACTGAGGTCGTGTGGCAAGAAGGATAAGGAAAAATTGTTTTTCTGTTTTCAACACGTGGTAAAAAGAAATAATGATTCTTTTCACAAACTGACGCTGACAAATGCACAATAACCCCTATGGTACAACGTAACAGCTTCTACAACGATATGGACGAGGTATAAAATATTACTCTTTGGGTACTTTGCAAGCAATCCAGCTCTTAGCATTATCGATGTTAAGCACGTAGTAGTTCATAAAACTTACCATCTCGATGTTCGCGTTCACCGTTCATCCATTCATTCAATAGACCCGCATCCATTTGTTCTAATTCCGGCGAATTAACGATCATATCTGCCTCGTTCACCTTCTGCTGACGAAAAAGCGCAATCCTGGCGGCCGTTAGACGCTGTCGTTCAGCAACAGTTCGGCAGTTCATACACGAACAGTCTTTGAAGCGACACTGATGTTTATGTCCGCGAAGATCCGACAAAATACCATGATTTCTACACCGCGTACATTTAGGATTACGATTTGACATGTTCTGAAGTTTCAAATCTGTTGGGCTCTCTTGAATTTCATCCTTAACCTCGTGTTGGTGCATTCTTAGGCTATGTCGTCTTCCAAGGACGCTACAAGCACGAACAAGCGCGCTGGTTATAGGAACTCACATTAAAATCCATGTTCTCGCGAAAGCAGAATTCTTTAATACCCAGAGGAGTTGTCTACGTGACAATTTCGCAAGTTTGTATTGTTCAAAGGTCTTCACACCTCCGCGTTGCAGATTCGTTTGAAGTGGAAACAAAAACTACAACGAGAATTGAGTGAATGATACATCTACTTCCAATATTACTGTCTGTATGACTTGAAGAGTGAAATTAAATGTAAAACAAAACGGTGCATCATTGAAAACGAGTTGAAATAATTTCATTGAATTTGAATCATTACCTTTTCATGCAGTTACCTTGAACCTTTTAGAATTAAACTCAAAATTTAATAATGCAGGTAACCGTGAAATGAGATCATTTTCGTACAAAAACCTTGAAGTACGGTATTCTTCTTCCTTTAATGGCTCTCCTTGGTGCATGCCAAAAGTGTGTCGTTTATTTTAACTGAAAACAGAAACGTTACAATATATTTATTTTATAGAAGCAGAGGAAAAGCATTTTTTTCATCGGTCTACCGATGAAATCATGAAAGATCATTAAAAAAAAGAATTAAGTAATTTAAAGAAAACGTTTATCGTTAACTATCGTCTTACGATTCACAAATTTTTCTACCGTGACCACCTGACGTCCCTATTTGATTAGTACGCCAGTATAGCCTCTTAGAGAATGTGATCTCTATCTTCGACAAAGCTTTGGCTTTCTTTTTTTTTTTTTACTCCCATTTTAATTTCTACTATTAAAAAATTGCAACTCAACGACTTGTGGATTGGAGCATTTATTACACCTCATATGGGTCACTTACAATCTACATGCCACAATTTAGTCTCCACTATTAACAACAACTTAGGCTAATAGGTGTAACTTTTAAAACCGTACTTCAGCTTTTTCCTTGACCAAATTGCCTCTTCTAAATATAAGGGGCTGGTTATTTACACGAGGTCTAATCCAAACTGTGGTCAGACAGGTCTAGGGTTGATTAAATCTGAAAGAAATATCCAAGTATAAAATGTTCAGCAAGCGATTTCCTGATTTTCAGATCAGTTCATTTTCAGCTAAATTGAAGATGGATACTGGAACGCGGTGTTGTCTATTAAGCAACGGCTAAACTTTTTTCAAATAACCGGCGCGGCCCAAGGGGTTGGAAAAGTTTTGAAAACCTGAGAAGACGGAAAATACATTCAGAGAATGCTTTAAGATGTCATTTTCATTTCCGCATGATCCAAGTTTGTCCCCCTTGAATCCTCGCATGAGGCTATGATTAAAATAAACAAAAAGTAGTCCATACAGAAACAACGGGGGGGGGGGGACAATAGGGAGGGTGTTAGAAGGGTAAGTTTCTGAAGAAGATGTGGCTCTGCGTGGAGGTATTTCGAAAAAAATCTGTGCTATCAAGTTGATAATTTTGATAATGTAATAAGTCAGAGATTCTCTAAAGCTGATTTTCAAGTGTTAGCCCTTTGATAGCCAATCGCTTAATCGCTGTCACGAGGCCTAATTACATTCGAAATTACAACGTTAAAAATTTTCTTTGGAGGCCAACTACGTCACCAAATTACCTTAATTAAAGGAACAAGAATGAGAAGCAAGACTAATTTGCTTCCCGCCATTTGAGATGTGTAGTTTACGACGTTTTTGACAACAAAACAATTGTTTTCAAACAAGGCAACGTTAAAGTGGTAGCTTTCAAAGAAATATTAACACTAAAGAAGTGATTATAGACTTAAGAGAAGCAACTATGACAAGGATAGAGAAGATTGGCACAGATAACTAAATCAGTGACAAACTTGAAAAGTTTAACCTAAAGTTGATAATGTTCTATTGATAGGAGACCAAATGGTCAGCGGTAGTTTTGAAGACATATTAGAGGCAAACCCTTTCATCTAAAGTCATTCAAAAGTATCCTTTTTTTCTCCTCAAACTCTTCGGCATTTAACGCCTCACACTTTTTGAGTTCGTGTAGCTCCTTCAGTTGCTGCAGAATCTTTTGTCGCTCCTCTGAACTGGTAGCCTACAGTACAAGAAATAATTGTTAGTCACGGTCATACAATCGTAAAATAAAAACTCGTCATTGGAACCTTGCAACTTAGCTTTTATTCTTTGTTATTATTCATTTTCTTTTTCAACGTATCTACTTTTCATCTTTTCATTTTTTAAGTCTAACCATCATGTCCAAATCCTGGATTGAGACGAGTTCAGGTAAGCCCGGGGGGGCTATAATAGTATTGTTTGCACCAACGACTATCCTCGAAAAGGTAGCTATCTCGCTTCCGAGTCACGTGAAGCCAAAGTGACAAAATTTCCTTGCGAGGTTTGCTGTTCAGTGCTTTGAACTTTGGGAAAGGGATCTGGGTAGCAGCACGAATTGTTGTCAGCCGTGTAGTCACGTGCCACTCGTCACGCGAGGTTGAACTTTCGTAACGCAACACATTCACAGCCTCACCCAAAGCCTGTCAAGTTATACAGTGTTTCATTTAATGAAAGAAGAGAATATCGCAGTTTTGTATTATGTAAGTGAAATCATTTTTAATTTTGCAACCTAAAGCTACAGCCTAACAAAATTCGTAGTGGTTTCACTTTCACTATTTTTCATTTCAGAATAGTATTTCAGTTTTTATTTCATTCACAACTGGATACATTATTACTGGCCTGCTTCTTGATAATAAAGACCGGCGTTGAAGGGAAAGAAGAAGAACGATAAGAAAAGGTCATAGAGAACCGAAGCAAAATTCTTAGTTCTTAAGACTCCAAGTCAATATTTTTGTTATCAATGGAGAAAGACTAATAATAATAATGGTAATAATAACAATATTAATTAAAATAATAATTATTATAGGGAGTTCTGTAGCGCCATATCCTATAGCTTATGGCGCTTTTTGCGGGGATTTTGACCAGACTGCATTCTTTAATTCGTCTTTGCATTCACAGAAGAGAATGACGTCATCCTCTCTTGGTATTGACACAGGGTGACTAAATGAACTTATGGGAAGTTTCTAAAGCAAAGATAGTTGTGCATCAAAACAAAGAAATCTGTTGTGTTTTTACCGAATCCCTTTGATGCTCTAGCATACGTGATGCAGCATTTACTCATATCTACAATTTTTGAAATTCAAAGAGACACATTCTTGGCTGACACAAATACTTGGCTAATTGAAAGTTTTAAGATAACTAAATGAAGAACGCTTACCGGAATGCGTTTGTTTTAGCCGCCATTTTGAAATGAGGCCTTAAGTTAAATCAAGCCTATGTCCGCTTTTCAAACGCTTTTCCATTTATTTAGAACATTTATTTCTTGGCTTTGTCATATGTTTCATCAAAAACGTTCGTCTCTTGTTTTTTTCTCATCATTTGGAAACATGAAAGAATACATGTAAACTGGAAACATTGCTAACAAAACATACAGCTCTTCATGTAGACAGCTCATTCGACACAAATGATTAGTCATAGAAATGTCGCTGTCCTCGTTGAAATACAAAATCCCATCCATGACGATCAAACCATAAAGTAAAAACAACGAAACACCAATGTTCGAGAATAAGAGAGAGAAACGTTTTATATAGTCTTTCATCGTGTTCCTAGTATGATCTTTCTTTGCTGTTCGTTTACAAGAACGAAAACCAAGATACCACGACCCGAAGAAAAGAACAGTTGAAGGAGCGTAAAACATTGCCATTTCACTCTTTAAAATGGCCAGTTCGTCGTCTGTTTTAGCAAGATGTGGACTAAAACAGTTCCCAGTTTGACAGAGTTCAAATTTCCGTCCATAATACACCAGCAATATAGACGAAACTAAAACGAAAATTGCCACGTTCATTTTAGACTTGAGGCGTTGTTCCATAGATCTTCCCAAAGATGTCGACAAAACCAGTGTAGCTAGTAAATAATTGGAAAAGAAAGACAAGCTGTTCGCCAAAACAATCCAAACATGTTGCCGTGAGAACTCAACTGCAGCATGAGCAATGATATTCCACGTGTTCAGGGACAATTGCACTAAAAGAATTCTGTTCAGCCTGTGAGGTGTCGACCTCGAAAAATAAACCCAGAAAAACAGGATTGCATTGTTCAGGAGGCCACAGGCATACAGAAGAAAAATTATCAAAGTCATTGGAACTCTTTAACACGCACGCGGCTGCTAAATCCATTCAGAAATCTTTACATGCGATTTGCATGGGAAACTACTGATATTTTGAATGTTTGGAAAATTTGCGTGATGCTTGCAGTAATTTATCTAACGATATTCGTCCTGTAAAGAACTTAAAACCTCGTTATATTGCTTTTTATGCCGAAAAAGCTACACTGACAGGATCTAAATTTACACGGAGTCTGAGAGAAAAGAATTAAAATTACAGAGGTAAATAATATTTCCCCAGTAACTTGTTAAGTTAAGATGATATCAAGCGTTTAAATTATTTAAAGTTTCCAAATTTTAGGACATTTTTTTCTGTTTAGAGAATACGCGTACCGAATTGCAGAGATTCTTGAGAATGGTTGTGTTGTTTAAAGAACCTTCAAAATAGAAAATAAATATAAGCACAACAAAGACAGTTTAACGTTAACTTAACTGTTTATCTCTGTTTCTTATATATATTTTCTTATGGCACCCAACTGCTGTCAGAGGAAAAAGACGCAAAATATGCAGTCACGAGAAACTGTAAGAAACTATACCGCGTAAGATATTCCACCATTCCGCTGATCCACCGTTCTCCGTTCCATTGTTCTATTAAATAACTCAAGGTATAGTATTTCGCAGCTTGCTCGCTTCGCAAAATTAACGGCTTTTTTCGGCATAAGCGATCACTCTAACAATAAAATGCTAGCCCTCTTTCTTCAAAGGAAAAAATTTCCTTGAAACTCCGTGATGTGTAGATCACATCTATTGAGATGTTTCTGCAAAGAACACTTTTTATTTAAATCATGCATGCGTCGACGGATTCCACTATGAAATTATTTTGAGATGTTTATCATTTAGTATCATGGTAAGAACTGAAAAGATTATATCTTCGGATCCACATAATTTGCTGAATAAAAAGGTAAAATACTCTCTTTTCAGCGAAAAAAATTTGCCTCTATGTTTCATGATGCACCGATCACACCTATTAGAAATTTTTTGCAAGGAAAACTTTTTTATTATATACATATAGCGCACAATCCTGAAATGATTGCGAGATGTTTATCATCTTCTGTTATCTTCCGTAGTGTCATGGTAAAAACACGATGTGTCAGTGGCTATGAGCCAGAAATCACAAAAGGAGAGAACTCAACTGGGTATCGAGCACACATGTTAAACTACTAAGATACACTGAAAAAAAAAAAACAAAAAACAGTAAAGCAGTACTGGGAAACATCGGATCAAAACTGGGTCAAGATATAAATTCTATTGTTGCAATGAGTTTCTCATTCATCTCGAGGGCATATATGGCTTCGCCTAGTATTGGATGTAGTGGTCACAAACATCCCAAAATTCAGTTACAGGTGACGATATTTATTTTTGGTTTTAAAAGTTAAATATTTATTTTTGTCACAACTCCTTCCCAAAGGGCTATGAGGGATCACTCTCCCCGTAGTTACAAGAATAGGAATGCAATAATCTGTTGCTAGCGCCTGTCTTTAATTTGACTTACCGCTGGCGTGTTTTGTCGGCGAACAGGTTGTCGTTTGGTAACAGGCGACTTGGCTGAGGAAACTGTACTTGTTGTTACCAGGTTTTCATTGGTCAGGCTGGAGTACTTGTTTGATTCTGCTGGATTCGCAGGCTAAAGAAATATAGACGTAGCCTATTCATATAATGAGAGTTGAAAGAAAAAGGAAGGGGGAGGCATAAGCATAGCAGCGACATGAAACACCGGAAGTAATGCATACTATGTATGATGAGCTGAAAACTTGCAAGGAGCTGATGAGAACTCAAAAGAAAAACACAAGACCTACGTGAAGTGCAGGAATATGCGATAGATCAAGTTGCGACAACTTCAGTTTCACATCTAATTGGCTGAGAAGGTGGCGTAAATTGCGTCATATATGAACCAATCATTGCCCGAAGTGGAAGAAAGCCAACGCATGCAGAATGCAAGATTGTGTTTGTTGATCGAAAAAGTGTGGACTTTTGACAAACTTATCATTTCAAATTAAAATAATGTGTTACAGCTTCTTACTCACTATTGGTTTAGTGTCCGTGGTCTCTTGTTTAACTTCTTGCCCTGTACGGAATTTTAAGAAAGAAGAGTTTGTCGTTTTAGAGATAAAATGGTCATTTAAGACACCTAAAACTCGCGATAGAGAGCCTGAGTTGTTAAACTGATGGGTCAAAGGTTTTTGAGATCCAATCCAAAGAAATGTTTAAATGCCAAAGACTTTTATACCGATAACTGCTGTGTACCTAGAGTGGTCTAAGTCATTACGAGAGGACACGCAGACTTTATGCAGAGATTCTCTCCTCCATAGAGTCCTGAACTAGAGATTTGTTCGTTTGCACACCCAAAACAGCTTCACACCTTTTATGGCGTCGACTACCCAACCTTTCTTACCCCCTCCCTTCCTGCCCTGCCCCACCCCCCCCCCATGTCACATGTGTAGTTGAATGTTTAGTTCAGTCCAAAATGTTCCGTTATCTTCCTTGTTGCGCTTAAGTCGTACGCTGAGTCATGCATGTTGATTTTCAAATAGGATATGATGTAATCAGTCAGAATGTTCAAGATTGTTTTGCATAAGTAAAGCCTATATTAAGATACTACTTTTACTGGTAAGTTGCAATCGTAAATAGAGCTCTGTGTTGCCGATCTAGACCACAAGTGACTTCTCTAGCATGTGCCAGGCTTTAAGACTGTGAAATCCAGGTTATCAAGGAAAGCAAACCGTCCAAACATCAGAAGTACGTATAAGAGCTTCAAGAGCTTGCATTTTGCAGCAGGTCGACTGAGTTATGAGAAGACACACAGGGCTTGCACTGTAAGTATCCCGGAGAGCTTCATACAATTTCTTATAATTCTATTATAAGGAATTGTATGGAGCTCTCCGAGATACTTAGAGTGCAAGCCCTGTGTGTCTTTTCATGAGTTGAATTTGATTAAGGAGTTCAAGAGGCATAACGACGATTTTTGGCGGTTGCCTAGGGGTAGGTTATCGTTTTCATTAAGACGACAACAGATAATATAACTTCCATTATATAACTTCCAGTAAGAAAATTATTCCTATGGATAACTTAAAGTTCCTATAGATCTATTCCAAATGTAAGCTCCAGATTGCATCATTCTTTTTAGGCAATGTTGCAGGAAGAATGATCAGCACCCAATTGTAAAAAGAATTTCAAACATCACTCGTTGATGGCTAAACAAAATACAAAAATTACAGAAAGATGGATTTCAAAATAAGCGTGCGAGCCCTGAAGAAAGTAAGAGAACTGTTCGGTTTGGTGTCGCATATTTTAGCAACGGAATCGCACAGTCGTTATTATATATCTAGACCGTATACTATTATTTCCATAGAATGCTTCGGTGCTTACCTCCATTGGATTTATTACGTACTTCTCCGACAACGACAACATCGTCTTCTTCTGATTCCACCGCCGGTGGAACGGTAAAGGAGTTTCTCGACCTTCGAGGCACGCGGCTACAATTCGAGCATTCGCAGTTTTTGTATTCACAATATGGTTTATGACCTTTCACTGGAAAATACATCCCGTGACACTTACACTTGCGACAGAAATATTGAGAAGACGATGTCTCATTGTTGTCTTGACTTGACATTATTCCTTGATTAAGAGATTAAAACGTTCTGTGATTAGAACAAAAATGAACGTCCAACCACATTTGCATCAGAGTTAATAGAGGGAACTCTACTAACTCTGTTTGCATCAATTGCCAGTGGGTTGTGAAATGCCATTGTCTTTTTAGACACAAAGAACTTTTTAAACTATCATGTCCCGCCATCTTCACGCTTCGTCAGTTGCCACATCATTTCTATTTTTAACTTGTTTGCCAAGACCTAAGAATAAGTGCGTTTTGTTTTCAGTTTGTCGCCTTTCGTTTGCTTCCCTTCCCGCGAAACTTATTTCAAATGAGTTTCAAGACTGGCCATTGGTGAAATTTCCCTGAATTTTTACTTATAGTGAACAGCAGGCATACAATAGGAATTCTTAATAGTGGACAGTTCAGACAGTATATAACTACTGCTGCTGCAGCCCAAATGAGAAAAGATGATTCAAGAATATCGACTGATTGATAGTCGACTAATAATTGGATGGTAGCAAATAAACTTATTAATAATAATAATAATAATAATAATGTTAATAACCATACTAATAGTAATGATAATTTATAGAGGCTAGTTTAAGAACCTCACTATTCCTCTATCGGTCTGATCCATCCTCCAGCCTCCAATAATCATTAAACTAGCCTTCTTTCAATTTCAAATTTGCGTGTTAATTATAAACAATTATTCAATTGCAATTCCATTTTTGTAAGACTTCTGTTTCACAAAACTAGGCATTCCGCGTTGAAGGCCACTAATCTCCAAAATCCAAAATCAGCCACTTGAAATGTGTCCAAAGTAAAAAGTTAACCATTAGTATCCTAAATGAAAATCAACCAATAATGTTCACAATAAAAAATTGGCCACAAGCGTCATAATTTCAAATCGGCCACTTGCGTCCAAAGTGCAAAATCATTGGGCCACTACTGTCCAAAATACTTTATTGACCACCGGTGTTCAAAATCAAAATTCGGTCACTAGTGTCCAAAACAAGTGCAAACTTTTATTATCGCTCATAAAAGGACTCAATTGATTCAGAAATAAATAATAGGCTTTTCTGGGACATTTCATCCAATCTGTATACCCTAAATGATCCAAAAAGCATATCTAACGGTGTAAATTTGTTGTAAAACATCATCACTGATACACTGACCCTATATCTGTGGGGCCAGTTATCTCGGGTTATTTCAAATAAGGCGGAAGTTTTAATTTATCAATAATCTTTGGTGTGTAACACAACTTCACGTTCACCTAGCCGATAAAAGTTAATTGACTCACGCATGAATTTGACTCATGACGGAGGCAAACATGAAAAGACATTTGTCGCATTATTATTTCGTGGAAGGACTGCAATTTCCTCAGAAATAAGTGCAATCGATAAGAATAAATAAGGAGTTTGATCCTAAAATTTAAAAAAATTTTTTTTTGTCATCTGCAAACGTCGTAGATCGAAACGCGCTACAGTAAGTGCAGGCTCGATCGTCTATCGCTAAGTAAAATGATTAAAAAACATTGAAAATCTCCCCATATTCGTTTTAAGGTCCTACGAATATCCTTGGGTTTCACCCACGTGACCAATACCTTAGCAACGGTTAATATCCGCCATCTTGGTGTCCCTCGAGCGTAAACAAACCGTATCTAACGAAGAGTTCATGTGAGAAAGAAGGGATGGTTTTATGCATTATTGTTGGCTGTTCGAGCAAAAGTGGAAAGCATAAAGACTAAGGATTTTTTCGTATAATAATTTAATAATTTTATTATCTCTATAGCGCAAAATTCATTATATATATGATCTAATGCGCTATACCTAAGATCATCACAAATCAAGGGGAAGAACAGGAGGAACTAGAAGTTGTTGTATGGTTCGAGGCTTGCGGCTGTTGTAGATCCTCGATTTTTTGGTCGAGCTTTTCTTTGAGCTTCTTAGCCGATGAGAAATCGATGTCTTTAGCCCTCGCATACGGCACTTCATTGACCTATGTCGGCAAAATCCATGAGCATTTTACCTGAGTGCAAGTAAGCTTGGGGTGTCACGAAAACTCACACCCCGAAAACTCAGACCTCAGACCTCAGACCCCGAAAACTCAGACTCCTCGAAAATTCAAGAGATAAACTCGACTCATGATCACTCCTGGTAATCCCGCGTGTATTTTGACCTTTTGGGTCTTGATCCAACTGAAGCAGCAAAAGCAAGGCCGCAAGTTGCACGTTTCGCAAAATCGTCCGATGGTTGAGTATTAAAACATTTTAGAGTGACACAAGACTTCATTTAGCTTAGATTTACCTCCATTTTTCCCGTTAATTTTGAACTTTTCATTCACAGTTAACGGGATCAAATGCGCTCGCTCCAACATCAAAGTATTAAAATGTGGCGTGATTTTGACGAGCCGAAAGGGACGTTTGTTTACCTTTTTGTACTTCGTCGCACAGATCCTTGTTGTCGCTCTGTTAAAATTCTTAAATATTTCGCGATAATAATGGATACAAACAGAGACTCGGCCCACCAGTCCCAAAACGAAGACAATTTTGCGACCCTTGGGCTAGAGTTCTTAAATGAGGCAGAAAGAGAAAAACAACG